CATTCAAAGAGATGGTCACACCTTAGATTTACCTATCACATGTAACTATACTACATTTAGTATCTCAAACTCTGAAATTCCTTTCTGTCCATTACTGTCTATCTTTCCATCTGTCTCTACATCACTCCACCCAAACATATTTCTTATCTTATTATAGTATAGTGTCTTTAGTCACTCCCTATTTCCTTGTTTTCCCAATATATCACCCCTGCACTAGCCTCACTTTCCTTCTTTTACAGTCAGGTTTGACCCTATCATTAACCTATTCAAATTGACACTAACCTCCACCTAACGACACTTTTGTGCCTTGCCAAAGCCCAACTTTTGATTGTATTCCCAAAGCTCAATTTCTTTGTACCCACTCAAGAACACCATTATATAATCATTCCAACTAGGTCCATTACATATTAAAGTTCTCTGATCTCAACTGAGCCAACACTGCTGCATGGCAGTCCTTTTATTCTTCCCTAATTCTCTATCACACCACCTGAAATGGTGTTCCTATGCTCCTCCCCTTCAAAAGAAGAGTTCTCATTCTACTTTACCGAAAAAATTATAACTATCCTTTCTCCTCTGCACTGCATCTTAATACATGACTGCAGAAAGTCCTATTCTTATTCCTTCTGCTCTGTCTTTGAGGAAAATACAGCCATTATCTTTGCCAAGACACAAACCTTCTACTTTTTCCTCGGGATGTCATCCTTCTGGTCTCTGGTTCCTGGACTAGTACCCTTAACCATTTTTTCATCTTCCATCATCTTCCAGTTTTCCTTATCCAATTCAGTCCCCACTTCTTAAAAACAGCAAACAGAATGTTTCACTTTTATCTTTGTATCTACAGCATATAAGCTTTTGAAATTAAATGTTGAATTAAATGACAGTGTCCATCTTTGAAAAAACTTTACTTGACTGCCACTTCTTAAATTGTCCTGTATCCCTCCTCCCTTTCACAGCTAAACTTATACAAAAAGTCACCTACATTTACTTTCTCCCATTTCCTCACCTCTTTTCAATGCCTTCCAACCTGGCTTTTGAACTTTACTGAAATCCCTATCTTGGGGCAGCTAGATGGCGCAGTGGATAGAGTACTGGCCCTGAAGTCAGGAGGACCTGAGTTCAAATTCGGCCTCAGACCAAACACTTGACACTTACTAGCTGTGTGACCCTGGGCAAGTCACTTAACCCCAACTGCCTAAATAAATAAATAAAATGAAATCCCTATCTTAAAAGTCTTCAAGAATCACTAACTGATGAATCCAATGGCTATTTCTCAAGTCTCCATCCCATTGGACTTCTTAGCAGCCACAGACACTGCCAATTACTCCTCTTCTATATATAGTCCTCTGTTGGCTTTTGTGATACTACTACTGTCCATTGGTTTTCATCCTATCAATTTGACTGCTCTTAGTGTCCTTGGCTAGATCATTATAAACTCTTCCTAAGCATGAACATCCCCCAAGACTGTCCTGAGCCCTCTTCTCTACATTCTCTCAGGTGATTCAACAGCTCCCATGGGTTCAGTTATCTCTATGCACATGACTCTCAAATCTTTATCTCCACCCTTTTTTATATCTCCTGATATCTCACACTGCTAATCAATTATTAGATTTCACCAACTACATGTCCCATCAGAATCTCAATATCGACATGAACTCTGTTGAGTGTAGCAACATTCATATTCCCAGACACCCAGGATGACAACCTCAAAATTACCCCTTTTTTCTCTCTCCCTTACCCCCCCAATACCCAATCAGCTGCTAAGTTTTGTGGATTCCGCCTCCTCAACAAATATCTTTCCTATACCTTCCATTCTCTCTATTAACTTATTCTCTCTATTTACCCTAGCTCAGGCCCTCATCAGCTCTCCTTTGAACTATTACAGAAGTCTCCTAACTGGTCTCCACAGTTCATCTCACCCTTCTCCAATCCATTCGCCACAGAGTTACCACATCAACATTTCTAAGACACAAGTCTGATCAAAAACCTCCAGTACCTCTCCTATTTATTGCCTTTAGGATAAAAAAATTCAACTAGCTTTCAAACTCCTCCACAATTTAATTCCCATCTATCATTCCAGACTTAACTATTATTTGTCTCTATCCCAGCCAATATAGTCTACTTAGTTGTTTCCCAAACTCAAATTCTGTGATCCATGCTGAAAACACTCACTCTTTTACCTCCACATCTCAGAACTCGTCTTCTCTCAAGACTCGGCTTAGAGGTAGAGTACAGAAAGCACTCAGGTGAGTTTTCCTAATATTTCCCTCCAAACAACTTTAAATTATGTCTCAAATATAATTCTGGAGTGGTAGAATCAACAAAAGGTCAGCAACATATTCTTCCAGTCCAAAACAACACAGGAGATAGGAAAGAGAGATCTGTGACATAAGTTAGGATATGGGGGGAAAAAAAGGATAGGTGAGAATGAGGGCTGCCCTGAGATGAGGAAGAATGGGGGAAATTATCTCTTAAAAGCAAGCAAGGAAAAGTTTTTACAGTGGAGGGGGAAATGCTGAGGGGATGGGCAACGCTTTTACCACACTCATATCTAAACTGGTTCAAAGATGGAAAATATATATACATACTCAATTGGTAACAAAATATATCTTACCCAACATGCAAGTAGTATGAGACGGGGATCAGAAGCAAAGCAGACTTAAGAGGAGGGACAAAACAAAAAAGAGAGAAAGAAAGATAAACAGAAGAAAATAGGATAGAGGGAAATGCAGTTAGTAATAACGGTCAATGTGAATGAGATGAACTCACCCATAAAACAGAAGCAGATAGCAGAATGGATTAGAAACCAGAATCTAACATAATGTTGCTTACAAGAAACACACTTCAAACTGAGAGATACACACAGTTAAAATAATGGGCTAGAACACAACTTATTATACTTCAGCTGAAGTAAAAAAGGCAGGGATAGCAATCATGATCTCAGACAAAGCAAAAGTAAAAATAGACCTAATTAAAAAGGATAAACAGGGAAACTTCACTAAAAGAGAACCATACATATCAATACTAAACATAAATCAACCAAATGGCATAGCATCCAAATTCTTGAAGGAAAAGTTAAATAAACCACAGGAAGAAACAGTAAAACTATAATAGCTGGGAACCTCAACTTTCCCCTCTCAGAGCTACATAAACTAAATAAAAAAGTCAAGGAAATGAATAGAATCTTAGAAAAGTTAGACACGATAGATCTCTGTAGAAAACTGAATGGGAATAGAAAGGAGCATACCTTTTTTTCAGCTGTACATGGCATCTTCACAAAAACTGATTGTGTAGTAGGGCATAAAAACCTCACAACCAAATACAGAAAAACAGAAATATTAAATGTACCCATTTCAGACCACAATGCAATAAAAAACTGCATTTAATTAAAAAAAAACTTAGCTCACATGCCAACTCCTCTGTGAAACCTTTCTCGATTTGCCCATACACAATTGGTAGTGCCCTCTCCCACCTCATATTATATGTATTTTTATCTATGTACATTTTGTATCTTCTTGGAAGCAAAGTGGTTTTTTGGTATTCCTAACACAGTGCCCTGCACATTGTGCTTAAATACTTGTTGAATTGAAACTCCCAACAACACACATTAGTGCTAGTAAATTAAATCTTCTCCCCCCCATCCAAGGAAATTCCAACATTTTCCTGTTGGATTATTGTTTGGAACCTCTAACTCCCCAAATTAAAAAAAAATTTAGATTAAAAATTTTTTTAAGAACCAGTAAATCATAAAGCAGAAGGAAAAAAGAAATTTAATATTGAGATTGTTGAAAAGAATGGTCTATTGTCTACTTCTTTTCTCCTGTAAATTTGCACTTCAATGGATGATTCCAATTTCAGACTCTTGAAATACGAAAAAGGATCCCCCAAAATAAAGACTTATGATAACGACAACGGTTAATCTTAATGTAACCACTACTTTCAGCAGTCTACCACTCCCAAAGCCTTAAAGACTTTTAGGTGCTCCTATATCCAAAGAGGCCGCTCTAACTTGCAAAGAAGGGATTTCCCCATGACATAAAGATTCCCCATTAGTCGATTTATCTATATACCTTTCTATCCCCAAAGGATGCCGACAGAGCAGTAACTTGGAAGGAAGATAGGTGTTATTCCCCTGGATTGGGGGTGGGGGAAGGAGAAGGAAAAGGAGAAAAAGAAAGAAGGCAATACGGAAAAATTTAGGAGTGAAAACGGTGTAAAAGAAAGGGCCCTGGTCATTAGGAAGGTAGCCGACAACAGCAACCACCCCGAAAAAGAAAAAATAAGCTCTGTCCCTTCCTCCCCATCCCCTGTATTTAAAGCATAGAGGAAAAAAAGATGCCAAGGGAAAAGAGAAATATCTATGTGCCTCCTGGAGGCGATACGGTAGTCATGCCTCACCCCAAAGTCCCCACCAAATTTAATGATGAGAATTCCCGGTAACAGCTAAAAGATAACAATCTCATCGTAAATGGAGGGGAAAAAAAGGAGGTACCCGCGGCCGAGCCCCAGATGGAGAAGAGTAAACCTAACAGGCATTACCGGGGAAAGGCGAGTTCCTCACGCTGAGGGATTCCCTCTCCACCTTAACCTGCGGGAGTGAGATAGACGTGAGCTGAGAGCCAATCAGCAACCGACTGCCCTTGCAGCAAAGAACCACCTCAGCCAATGAACGAGGCGACAGGGGAAAAGGGCGGGCGTCCCGTGGCGATCACGCTAGGCCGAGTCTCAGCTTTCCCTGGCCCCCACAGGCCCAGCGTCCAGCCCGTCTTGGCCTAAGGGCGAGGGCGCCACGGGAACAGGGGCAGCAGCTCCCGCGGAAGTGGACGAGGGTAGGAAGAGATCACGGACGGAGGAATCTGTGAGTAGGGCGACCCCACCATCCGCCTTCACCTCACCACAGCGCGGCGCGGCCCCCAGTTCCCGGCGGCCAGAGCAGGGCCCCCAAGGGGAATGACGGGAAGGTCAGCTAGCCGGACCCAACCCAGCCCCGCTCCGCTCCTTACCTCTTCGTAATACGGGAAAGGAGAAGAGGATGCTTGGCTTTATACAGTACCCAGCTATGCCGCTCCAGCTGCGGCACCGCCTCACATTCAAACCCCGGCAAAATGGCGCGGTGGCGCGGCGGGGACCAGTGCGCAGGCGCTGGGGCGTCCAGAAAGGGGGCGGGCTCCAGAACGACACTGATGCTGCCCACGAACGGCCCAGCCAATCCGCTGCCCGAAACGTGGACCTGGCTCCTCCCATTCACCCAATGGTTGGCGCTCCCCTTCCCCCTCCCGGTATCCTCCGGAATTATAGAATTTCACGGTGTAAATGCTAGAATGCTTTTGAATAGGTAGACCATTGGGGTTTAGAGGTTATTTAGTCCAAGTACCTCATTCTTACAGTTGAAGGAAATTTAGCCAGTATCGGTGGCCGAGCCAGGATTAAAACCCAGGCCTTCTCATTCCAAATACAGCGTTATTTCTATTATGCCACGCCGTGTCCCCATTGTTGTATGAAAAACACTTTGTAGGTCCTAAAGCGCTTTGCAAATCTTGCCTGCAATTATAGAATCACAGATAAAGAGCCAAAGGGACTTGGAAAGCCCACTACCCCGACTCTCATTTACAAATGCCACAAATAAGGCCTAGGGAGTCTGGGAGTCGTCCAAGGTCACCCAAGTAGCAAAGGTCAGAAATACTAGTTGAACCTAGGTTCTCTGACTCCAGAGCCAGGTACTATTTCTATTGTTCAGTGATACCTTAAAAAAAAAGTTTTACTCTGTCGCTTAATTATGAAATAAAAACAACCCTAGGTTTTGTCTGTGCTAATAGAATATAACCTCTCACAGGTCCTCCATCACCATGGAAAAGTCTGGGCAATAAATTATGTGTCTGTTGTCCAAGAATCTCCCTAATTAAGTGCAAAAAAGCTCATTACTGGAAGGCTGGCGATCAGGGGGATGAAGTTTTCAGCCACAGCCACTAAAATTGTCTACTCGGTGGTGAAGGACTCTATCAGAATCATGCTAATGGAATCACAGATCCTTGAAGTATTATAATTATTAGTATCATTTGGTCATTTTTATCTTTGCATCCATATGACCTTGGCACATAGTAGGAGCTCATTAAATACTTGTTTAGCTGACAAACCATTCATTCAACAAAAGTTTATTGTTCAATGTCTGAAAGGTATATTTTCAAAGTACCTAGGAAGATGCAAAGATGCCTAATTCATAGTACTGTGCCCCTCAGAGCTTAAACTTAGTTCAGTGGGAGAAAGAACTTTTCTTTGAATCTTGAAAGTTCTGAAATTTCATTAATAAGCTCACAACACCTCCATGTCATTTTAAAAATTATTTTGAAGTTTTACCGATTTTTTTACATTACAAACATTTGTAGGTTGCTCTCACTTTATGAGAGTTCTGTTGTAACAAAGTAAAACAGTTAAGAAAAACTAATGATAGTGTCCTTGTATGAAAGTTCGTGTCATATCTCACATCTGTAGCATAGTATCCCCCCTCTTTTTATTAACAGAAATCTATTTTTCCCTGACTTCCCAACCAATCCATTTTTAAAGTTTTTTTTAAAAAGGAATTTCTTGTAATAAATATGCATAGTCAAGTAAAACAAATTCCCAAAAAAAATATGTGCATCTAATTCCAGACCCTAAATCTATTACCTTTTTGTAATAGATAGCAAAGGGCAGCTAAGTGGTGTAGTGGATAAAGTACTAGGCCTAAAGCCAGGAAGTCTAATCTTCCAGAATTCAAATCTGACCTCAGACAGTTATTAGCTATGTATGTGACCCTAAGCAATTCACTTAACCCTGTTTGCCTCAGTTTCTTCATCTGTAAAAGGAGCTGGAGAAGGAAATGGCAAAATTGTCCTGTGTCTCTGCCAAGAAAACCTCAAATGGGGTCATGAAGAGTCAGACACGACTGAACAACGATGGATAGTATGTTTCATTATCTGTCTTCTGAAATTATGAATGGTCATTGCATTGATAACAGGTCTTACATCTTCCAAAGTTATTTTTATACTATTATATAAATTTGTTGCCTGATTATGCTCATTTCATTCTTCATTGGTTTATAAAAGGCTTCAAAATTGTTCATTTTTTAATATTGATGTTACAATATAAATTGTTCTGTTTCTGCTTATTTCATTCTACATCAATTCATACAAGTCTTTCTTAGAGTCCTTAAAGTTAACATACTCAAAACTGAACTCATTACCTTTCCCTCTGAAACCTCTCTCCATATTACTATCCTCCACTTCTCACTATCTCTCACTCCCCATCTCCATATCCAATATGTTGCTAAGGTCTGAAGATTTCACCTTTGCAACATCTCTCCTTCTCTCCTCTAATACTGCTACCACCTTCATGAAGTCTCTCAGCATGCCATGCCTTGACTATTAAAATAACCTGAAGGCTGGTCATACTGCCTCATGCCTCTCCCCACTCCAGTCCAGCCTCCATTCAGTCACTTAAGGAATTTTCCTAAAGCAATGATCAGATCATGTCATGCCTATACTCAGTAAACTTCAATGGCTTCCTATAACCTCCAGGATCATATACAAAATCACCTGTATGGCATTAAAAACCTTTTGTAACCAAGCTCTTCCCCACACCTTTCTATCCTCATGCCATACAACCCAACCTCCTCACCCCACCTCAATTTTTGATCCAGTGATACTGGCCTTCTTGTTCCACTAACAAGACACTAAGACCCTACTCTCAATTCTGGGCATTTTCACTAACTGTCTCCCATGTCTAGAATCTTCTTCTTCCTCATCTCCACCTCCAAACTTGCTTGGCTTCCTTCAAGTCCCAGCTAAACTCTTACCTTCTATAGGAAGGTAAGATTTCCCAGTCCTTCTTCATTCTAGTGCCTTCTTTCCATTAATTATTTTCTGTTCATTGTGTATATAGCTTGTTCATACATACTTGTTTGCATATTGTCTCCCCAGTCATATCTTGAGCCATCTGAGGGAAGGAACTATATTTTGCCCTTTTTTTTTGTATCTCCAGCACTTAGCACAGTGCTTGGCACATAGTAGATATTTAATAAATGCCTACTGACTGATTTTCATGTTTCTTTGAAATTATCTATTTTTTCATTACTTATATCACAAGAGTATTCTATCCTATTAATATATCACAGCCTGTTCATTTGTTCTCAGTTATTTGGACATACTCTTAGTTTCTAGTTTTTGCTACTATAGAAAGTTTTGCTACCACAAAAAGAAAGATATGCTATTATTTTTTGTGTTTATACAACCTTTTTGTCTTTCTTTGATCTCTTTTGAATTTAGGCCTAGCAGTGCTATATTTAGGTCAAAGGAAATATACTATTTACTAACTTTTTATGTATAATTCAAATTGCTTTTTTTAATTCAATTTTATTTTATTTTCATTTCCAAATTTTGTCTTTCTTCTCACTTCCCCCAACTATTGAGAAGTCAAGAAAAACAAAACCATTCCAAATACTTATAGTCATGGAAAACAAACTCCCTTATTAACCATGTCCAAAAAAACAAAACAAAGAGGAGAAAATATACTTTAATCTGCATTCTGACTTCATCAGCTCTTTATCTTGAAATGGATAGGATGTTTCATCATGACTCCTCTGGAATTTTGGTTAGTCATTGTATTGATCAGAGTTATTGAGTCTTTCAAAGTTGTTTGTTTTTACAATATTATTATTACTATATAAATTATTCTCCTGGTTCTACTCACTTCACTTTACATCAGTTGATACAAGTTATCCCAGGTGTTTGTGAAATAATATGCTTCATCATTTCTTACAGTCTTACAGCACAACAATATTTCATCATATTCGTATACCATATTCAACCATTTCCTAATTGATGATCATCCCCCTCATTTCAATTCTTTGCCACTACAAAAAAAACTGCTATAAATCTTTTTTATACATATGGGTCCTATCTCTCTTTCCTTGATCCCTTTGAATATAGATCTGATAGAATCATTGCAGAGTCAAAGAGTATGCACAAGTTAACAGTTTTTGGGCATGATTCCAAATTCCTTTTTAGAATGGTTAGATTCGTTTACAATTCCGCCAACAATCTATTAGTGTACCTACTTTCCCATAATCCCTCCAGGATTTGTCGTTTTCCTTTTTTGTTATCTTAGTCAATCTGATGGATGTGAGATGGTACCTTGGGTTGTTTTAATTTGCATTTCTCTAATTATTAGTGATTTAGAACTTTTTTTTTCATATAACTATTGGTAGCTTGGATTTCTTCCTCTTAAATACTAATTATTCATATCCCTTGGCCATTTATCAATTCAGAAACTGCTCTTTTTCTTGTAAATTTGACTCAGTTCCCTAGATAGTTTAGAAATGAGACCTTTATCAGAGAAATCTATTGCAAAGATTTCCCTCCTCATTTCCTGCTTTTCTCTCAACTTTAGCTGCCTTGATTTTGTTTGTACAAAAATCTTTTCATTTTGTGAAATCAAAATTATCTGTCTTGCCTCTCATGAACCTCTCTTTTTCTTGTTTGGTCATGAATTCTTCCACAATCCATGAATCTATGGTAATTTCTTCTATGCTTCACTAATTTAGTTATGATATCACCCTTTATGTCTAAATCATGTACACACTTTTGAGCTTATCTTGGAATATGGTGTGAGGTTTTGGTTTATATCTAGTTTCTGCCAGACTGCTTTCCAGTTTTCCCAATGCTTTTTGTCAAAAAGTGTATTCTTGTTCCAATAGTTAGGATCTTTGGGTTTATCAAACACTAGGTGTTCCTTTGCTTCTGTGTATCCTGTATCTAATCTGTTCTACTGATCAACCTCTCTATTTCTTGCCCAGTATCAAATTGTTTTCATTATTACAGCTTTGTTGTATAGTTTGAGATCTGGTACCACTAATCCTCCACTCCCTTAATTCTGATTTTTTTTCATTGATTTTCTTGATATTCTTGACCTTTTCTTCCTCCAGAATAATTTTGTTACTATTTTTTTCAAGCTCTATAAAGTGATTTTTAGTAGTTTAATTGGTATGGTATTGAATACGTAAATTAATTTAGGTAAGGTTGTTCATTTATTATATTGGCTTCGTCTCCACATGAGCAATTAATGTTTCTCCAATTATTTTGATCTATATTAATA